ACACACACACACACACACACACACACACACACACACACACACACACACATGAGGAGGGGGAGAATGAATAGATGGCTATGGAAAGAGTTTTCACAAATCATGTTCACCCACATTATACAGAATGCAGTGGCCAAGGAGCCAATAAAGGGATGTCAGAGGGCCAGAGACACGGCTGAGGGGTGAGAGCACTTACTGTGTTTTAGTTGATGTGATAAAACACTGACCAAAACAAACTTGGGAAGAAAGGGTTTATTTCAGTTTATAACTCTGAGGTCACAGTCCATCACTGAGGGGAGTCAGGGCAGGAACTCAAGGCAGGACTCTGGAGGCAGAGGCCATGGAGTGCTGCTCACTGCCTTTGTCTTCTGGCTTGTTCAGCTACTTTTCCTAGAGATGACAGTGCTCACGGTGGGCTGGGTCTTGCTACATCAATTAGCAGTGAAGAAAATGACTCACAGACTTACCGATAGGCCAGTATGCTAGAGGTAATTCCTCCCTGAGGCCCCTCTCCAGGGAAGTCAAGTTGACAATCAAGATGGGCCATCACACTGTGCAACCGTGAGGGCAGCCATGTAAAAAGCCGAGCATGCCACGTGTCTATAACCTTACCACTGTGGGAGGTAGAGAGGGGAGGAAGCCACCGGCCTAGCTCCAGGTTCAGTGAGACTGTCTCAGGGCAAGTGACAGAGGACACCTGACATCCTGCTCTGGCCTCTGCATGTGTGCACTGGACATGTGCGTGTACACCACACACCGAGACACATACACTCAAAACCATAGAGAATCATTTGAACAAGTACACACAGTAACATAATTGAGTACATTGACAGGCTATCTGAGAAATAGCAGAAATAATCATTTTCAAGAGCTACAGAGGCTTTCAGAATACTTAATAGGAATAACCTCAGTGGTTAAGAGCATTGGCTGCTCTTCCATAGGACCCAGGTTCGATTCCCAGTACCCACCTTGGCTCACAGCCATCTGTAACTCCAGCTCCAGGGGACTGGATGTCCTCTTCTGGCCTCCTTGAGCACCAGGGATTCAAGTATACAGACATACATGCAGACAAAAGATAAAATAGCTAAGAATAAATGTCTAGACCCGTGAAAGACTAATTTTAGGTAAATTCATTTAACAATGTTAGTGCTATCCAAATAATCATTTATGCTCAACTTCAGGTACAGAGAAGTTTGTAAAAATGTGTGTGTGTCCTTGTGCTCACCGCGTGCACAGGTGCTGCGTGCACGTGGAGGCGAGACGTCAACCTCCACTGTTCTTTGTGACAGAATTCCACCTTGTTTTCTGAGACAGCCTCTCACTGGGACCCAGGGCTGCAGGCTCATCAGCAAACCTCAGGGACCCTCTCTCCATCACCAGTGCTGGGACTACAAGCAGGCGTCACCTCATGTGGGTGTTGGGGACAAACCTGGGTCATCGTTCTCACGAAACAAGCATCTTACAGGCTGTGCTGACTGACTCCCAGCCCTAATTTTTTTGAGCCAGGATATTCAGCCTAAGCTGCCTTCAAACCTCTTGTGATCCTTCTGACTCACCCTCCCAGGTTCTGGGATTAGGGGTATGAGCCACCACCACTTGGTTTAGGAAGTCTTTAAAAACTATGAAAACAGCTGGGTGTGGTAGCACACACCTTTAATCCCGGCACTCCAGAGGCAGAGGTAGAATCTCTGAGTTGGAGGCCAGCCTGGTCTACTTACTGAGTTCAGGGACAGCCAGGGGCTACACTGTCTCAAAAAATCAAAAAAGAAATTAAAAAGAAAAAAGACACGCCTTTAATCCCAGCACTGGGAGGCAGAGCCAGGCAGATCTCTGTGAGTTCAAGGCCAGCCTGGGCTACCAAGTGAGCTCCAGGAAAGGCGCAAAGCTACGCAGAGAAACCCTGTCTCGAAAAACCAAACCAAACCAAAACAAAACAAAACAAAAACAGAAAAGAAAAAAGACAAGAGAAAGTGTGAAAACAGCTTATTTGAATAGGAAGAGTTCAGTATCTTTTTATTTATTTATGTTTTTTTTTTTTTTTTAGACAAGATTTTACTGTGTAGCCCTGGCTGTCCTGAACTCACTCTAGACCAGGTCAGAGATCCACCTGCCTCTGCTGGGATTAAAGGACTGTGCCACCACCATCTGGCTACAAGAGTTCCTACCTTACCAGGTGAGGTTGTTCATACTTGTAACCCCAGCATTTGGAAGACTTAGACACGTAAGTCTTTACATTTCAGGCCAGCATGAGTTAAAAGTGAGACTGTCTTAAACCAAACATGACAAAACACATCTCAAAAGAAAGATTCAGTGGCTGGAGAGATGGCTCAGAGGTTGAGAGCACTGGCTGCTCTTGCAGAGGACCCGGGTTTGGCTGATAACCCTCTATAATTCTACTTCCAAAGAATCCAGTGTCCTCTTCTGGCCTTCTGAGGCACTGCACACACACGGTGCACCCACATAAATGCAGGCAACAGCTCAAAACATATTAAAGATAAATAAAAATTTTAAAGTAAAAGACTCAGCATCTTAAAGATAGCAATTATCCCTGGGTTATATGTAATATGATACTAATATATTTGAAATAATAGTAATATGTAATAGTAATACAGTAGTAATAATAGTAATGTATAATAGTAATAATGCTGGATGTGATGTGCACACCTTTAATCTCAGCACTTGGGAGCAGAGGCAGGAGGATCTCTGAATTCGAGGCCAGCCTGGGCTACAGAGCGAATTCCAGGACAGCCAGAGAAACCCTGTTCAATGCCCCTCCTCAAAGTAAACATGTGCAAAAATAATCAGAAACTCTATGAGAAAGCAGGAGTGGGTTCGGCATCAGAAAATGTAGAGCTCCCTAGAAATGCTCGTTTGCTATGTGAAAAGTGGGTCCTTACCTCCCACTATTACTCCTCTGAATAAATCCCAAATCGTCCAAGATAAAAAAAAAAAATGAAATCTCTCCCATGCACCAAGGAAACTCTGGGATTCAAAATCTTGCACAATTTAGGGGAAACAGGATAAACAATCCAGGCAGGTGTGTTGACCCTGTGGGTACCACACAAGCTTGGTGACCTGAGTTTGATTCCCTAAACCCACACCAAGGATAAAAATAAAATCTTTCAGTAAAGCAAGCCAAATAATTGGAAAGATGTATTTGTAATTATCAGAAACTGTCATACCTAATGCCAGTAATACGTAGTCAGCAGCTACAGTCATTCAAGAAGTTATTGAGGGGAGAAATGGGTATAGAAAGTGGACAGTCAGCGGGGTGGTGGTGGTGGTGGTGGTGGTGGTGGTGGTGGTGGTGGTGGTGCACACCTTTAATCCCAGTACTCATGAGGCAGAGGCAGGCAGATCTCAGAGTTCGAGGCCAGCCGGGCTACAGTGAGTACTAGGAGAGTTAGTGCTACACAGAGAAACCCTGTCTCGAAAAACAACAAAACAAAAACAAAAGAGAATGTAGACGGTCATGAGAGAGGAAAATAGGTTAGATTTTTGTGGTGCTAGGGACCAGACCCAGAGACTTACTTATGTGTGCCAGGTAGTTGCTCTACCACTGAGCCACACCTCAGCCCCTCACTGGGGGATTCTAGGCAGGGGCTCTACCACTGA